GCACTCAAGTCTGGCCCGCTTATCCTTTAGACAACCAAAATCACTGGCCCCTTTTCAGGTCTTTAAATCCCAACCTTTTTCAGGACATATAACTACTGTGAGCGATTGGGATGATGGGGAGAGATTCCATTATGTCCAAGCCTTTTCATACCTCCGTCTAAATCCAGTTCTCTGACTTCAAATCCTCCCTCTGTACTTTCTGTTCCCCTGGACAGATTCTATCAGCCTGTAAAACAGTTTCTAAATCAGCCAATTCCTCTCCAAACCTCCTCCTTCCCCATGTAAACAGACCGTACCTATCTCCTCCTATCTTCCTGAAAAACTTTCCCTGTCATGGAGTTAGGCAAGCCACTCCTTGCCAATTCTGACCTCAAGGCGATTCCAGCTCTGAGAGAATTCATGCTTTATTCGGTGACCTGAGAATGGAGGTTTCATTTTGCTGAAAGCCTGCCAGAACCAATCAATGCCAGCAACCTGGAGGCACAGGTGATGGCTAATCCCTTAAGCATGTGTCATGCCTCCAGGCTCTGCTTCCCCTCCCTTACCTAAGATGTCAGCTCACCTTTTCTGCCTCCTCCATGGTCTCACCATGTGTCCTCTGTCCCTGTCTGCCTTCCCCTCCCTGGGCTTACTGGGACCCTGCCTCCCATGAAAAACCTGTAGCATGGTACCTTATGACTTAAGTTATTCTAACTAGTTTGCCAGGCCTCTCAGTCTAACGTAACTTTAAATCAGCCACTTTACAAAAGCACTTACAAAAACCTGCAGCTGCTACGCTTAAGCTCTAACTTCGCCCCCTCAACAGGAGGAGGGAAAGCAAACAGGTGCACCTGTGCACAGGATGCCGGCTCCTGGACACAGCAAAAAAGCCTGCCATAGCTAGGAAAATCCATAGAGAGGACCCAGCAAATCCTGGGCCGCCAGCCACACATGGTGATGACTGCAGCCCGCCGCCACTTCCCCTAGAATAAACGCGCGCAGAGTACACAGGAAGGGGGGAGGGGCGACAGGCCACAGGATCAGGCCTAGGCAGTCAGGGTCATTTGTCCCAGGTGTGTGTGGAGGGAGTGGCGCCTTGCACAAGTACTGCTCCGAGCCCCACCTCACACCTCAGGGCATCAGGCCCTTAGAAGTCAATTGTTAGCTCAAGGTTATAGTTCCAGAAATAACAAAATAGACATTACTGTGGTCTCTAAATTTCTCATTTAGAATTTTCTATACCTTTGGCCTCAGCATAAATTTTTACCTCCAAATATTAACACTAGTTGTCCCATATGGCACTGTTATTGGCCTGAAATGCCCTCTGAATGCCCTTCTCCAACTTTACAAATGATTTATTTCTTTGTTAAAAAGATAGGCTTTATTAAAGAGGCTGCCTGCTTTTAGCTAAAAGACAGGATCTTAACATATTGTTCTTTCTAGATGGGACCTGCATCTTCCAGTCTTTGGCTGGTAGATGTTGGAAGCTTTGTACTGAGGCCTTGGGTGACTAAGAGAAGTGGCCTTCACAGGGTTGCTTAAACTACAATACCATACTACAATTAGACCTTTTCTATAAAAGTAAAAAAAAAAAAAAAAGTAAACTGAGGTCCCCTATACAAATTTCTCTCATTAGAAAAGCAATGGGTTCTGGCCCAGGCCACTCAGGTTGGAAATGATTATATGGCTCAAGCAGTAGAGTGCCGTTTTACAAGCATAAAGTCTTGAGTTCAAGCCCAGTACAGCCAAAGTAAGAAGTAATAATAATATTTGGGGCTGAGGAAGTAGCTCAGTGGGAGAATGTCTGCCCAGTATGTGCAAAGCCCTGGGTTCAATTCCCCAGCATTACTAAAAAAAAATAAAATAAAAAATGGTAAAGAAGGAAAGTGGCATTAATGTCACTTCAGCCATCTCATAGTAGAAAACATAGTTTAACTTAGCACAGGTCCCTCATTCTTCAAGCGAGGAAACTGAGGCCCAGAACAATTCAGAGATTTGCTCTACAGAGTGTCAGGTGTCAATGTAAAATAACAACTTTACAGCTACCACCTATCAGAAAGCATACCACAGTGGACTCAGAGTCACAGGTGAGAAAGGTTCTCCTCAAAGATAAATTTCTAACAGTCAGTCCCAGATATTTGTAAAAACTCAGACTGTGGCTGAAGGGAAAAGTCACTGAACCAAATAATACAGCTAGCCATGTCTGTATTTATGGCTACGTCTGTATGTCCAGGACCTTACTAACAGGAGAGAAAAAGATAAGAGACACCATGGCTTCATTGCTGCTCTCAGAGAGGGCCCCACCCGACTGGGGCCTGTATCCTGAACTTGCTACTGTGGTGGGCAGGAGGGGCACTTCTGCAGAGAATGCTTAAAGGGGGACAGCCTGGGAGACAGCCCCGCCCCCAACCGGGACCCTGCCCTCTGCAAGGGTAACCACTGGAGGTCTAAGTGCCCCTGTCACCAGATGGAAGACGAGGTGCCACCTTCTGTGGATTGATGGATCCAAGCCTCCTGTCCACACTCCACTTCTTGGCATCAATGTTGAGGAGCCATAATGGCAGGAAAACAAAAGGTCATTTTCCTCCTAGACAGTGGAGCCCATTTCTCTGTTTTACCTTTTTCTCCTGGTCCCCAGTCCAATGACAAAAGTTATCATTCTGGGCAAATCTGGCTAGCCCCTAGAGCACTAGGGGAATAGGGGAATAAGAAGGGATTTTGCAAAGAAGGGTGTATCCTAAAAATTGTTTCAAATAAGAGGGATAAAAACAAACTATCCTCCAAATTATGAGGATAGTTGGCTGATACCCACCATGTGGAGGTCAGAGGATTGGCTCGAGACTCTTTATGACCTATGGCTACAAGGGACCTTCATCAACTTCAGGGAGGAGGAAATTTTCACCTTTGGAGCCTGGGTGTACACCATTATGAGACTCACTACCCCAACGCCATTTGCCAACTAACCCTCCCTTCCCCTATGCTGCCCCTTGCCAGCTCGAAGAAGCCAGAGTGAACACAATGCCCCTCTTCCTTAACAAACAGAGAAAGGAGGAATGTTGGCAATAATGGCGCTGATAGGTTTCAATTCTTACTGCACCTTTAAGCTTCTGTTTTCCAGGGTCATGGTCCTGTCTCCCAGGGTCACAGTCCAGCCTCAAGTCTAGCTTGAACCCTCCTTCTGCCCCAACCTCCAATCAGCATGAACCATAAGATACTAACCAATCAGATCATGCTGAGTCCCACTGAGGGGTATTTAAGCCCCTGTCCCTCTCTTTCTCTCTCTCTTGGCTCTCTCTGCTGTCTCCCTCTCCCACCCAGCAATAAAGAATCTCTTGGCCAGCTCACTCCTCTCCATGTGGTCATTTTGGGGCCCACATTTCCTTACAGAAGATCTTTAATATATACTCATTGTGATTTTATTGTTTATTTACTTGAAAAGTAAATCTTCAGTTTGATTTGTGATTTTTATTGCTTCTAAAATGTCACAGAGCTGAATTCCTTGATAAGAGATGACTTTCTTGCATTTATTGGAGGAAATATTGTTTCTGGATGAAGGAGAGGATTTCCTTTTCCATCTTCTAGTTTATTCATAGAGAAAAGAGGGTGTTTGTAGTCTATTCTTCATGGGAAGGAAAATATAAAGAAAAACTGTTTTTGTTGCTTTCCCTCTTCTTCTAGGTAGAGTGACTTACTTTATCAAGCAAAAAAAATTGAAGGAAGTGACTATGTAGTCACAGATCCTATTTGTTTCTTTAAAGTGCTGTCTTTTCAGGATTCATTCAGTCTGTGTTCTGGTGAAGGAAAAAAAAGATCAATCAGGTAGATAGGGCTGGTTTATCAAGTGGTGAAGTTAGGATCTCTCACCCAAGAAGTGACTCAAGCAAATGTCTACCTGTACTCCTGCAACACTTTTTCTTTTTATGGTTATGCTTGGTGGGGGTACATTATGGCATTTACAAAAGTTCTTACAATATATCAAATATATGATATTTGAATTTACCTCCTCATCATCCTCCTTTAACCACCCTTCCCAAAATTCCTGGAATAATTTCAACAGATATCATTTTTCCATTTATATACATGTATACATAGTATTAGCATCAAATTCACCCTCCTACACCTGTAACTCTTGATTCTTGATTTCACAACTCTTCAGAAAGGTCTAGTGGAAGAGTCAAAGCCCAGTGTGAGTAAACTTTGATCAGATGCTTCCTGGTGAGTACAAACACATATTATATAATTGCATGTGTCTAATTATAGCTTCATAGACTTCTTTGCCTGCTTCCTAATATGAAAGAACTTTACATGAAATTTTTGTCCCCATGTTTAAGGCCACAATCCCAAATGGTCTTCTACTTTAGGCAATAATGAAATAAGTGAGAATTTATTTCAAGAAATCTACTTTAGGAGACAAAGAGTCAAGAAGATAACGTCACTCACTGATGAGTGCTGCCTGCCCAGTTTCTAACTTGGGATTTCACCTTGATGAAACTTATGTGAATCTTGACTAGAAGATGAATTAATTTTCTCCAATAATTGACCAAGAAAATGATCTAGCAGTCATGAGAGAACTTTAACTTTTAACTTGGAACCATAATTTCAGAATATAGTTCTCAAACCCCAGCAAATCTTCCTTAATTTATATATATAAGTTAAGTTTTATCATTATATATTCGTCTAACAATTAGAGTATAAAATAATCATTTTGGATGTTGTCCAAGAATTAACACATTACAATCAGGAATTCAGAACATTTATTGCAAGAGCTGAATAATTGTAAATAATGTAGAACTGGCAAAGCAGTAACAAGGATAATTGTTTAGATATTTATTCTGTCAAAGTCATCAAACACCCCTCACAAACCAACAAAAATGTACTTCAATAAGCAATGCACCCCTACCCAGTATTTTCCATTATACTGTGGAAAAATGTGAACTGCTATTTACAAAGTAATTTTATTTTTGGTAAGAACAAATTAACTATCAGATTAGCAAACTTTTTTAAAATTTTTAATTTTTTATTTTTAAAGTGATGGTGAATCGTGGCATTAAGATAACTTTCACTTCTTTCAATAAAGACATTTTGTTGCATGCTATTTATTTGTTTAAATCATCTGTCATGCCTTAACAAAAACCTCCTAAGAATGTTCAAATTTGGATTCGTTTGCACGTGCAACTGAGATCTTATTAACATTAGCTGTCACTCTGTTGGTTTGACCTAAGTGACAAAATGCTGGTACCTGCCAGGCATTGACCAACTATGATAACAAACAGTTAAACAGCAATAATTAGAAATTTATCCCTTTATTTCCCCCAACTACCCTACCTGGAGAATGTTCTGTTACATCATGAAGGCACAACACATTAAATATTTTGTGGCTATGGTCTAATAACACTTGTGTTACAACAGTATTGCATATGAGGATCAACACAAACTCTGCCATTTCAACAAAGTTGTAGACACACATTTGCCCAATTGAAGCTATTTTTGAATATTGATTTTTCTTTAATATTTGCTAATTTTGATACATTAGTTTTGCATGAGTGACAAGTACAGGATATTATATCACTTTTGATGGATAATACTTTTCCATTATCACTTAATGGTACTAATTAAGTGATTTTTGCTTTTACCTACTTTAAAAATAAGGATATGAAAAAATAGGTTCTGAATTTCCAAGCATTTGCAGTTTTCTTTTTCTTCATATAAAGTTTTCATTTTTCTTTCATCTTTACTTTTTTATGGAATTCCAACACCATAAGTTATCATATAAGATTTCAGAACCCTTTTTAAACACAAGTGTTTAAGATCCCTTGAACAATGTGTGTCAAGACAGACAACTAACGCAGAAACACCTCACTAAAGGAAACAAGAAAAATAAGAACAAAGAGGTAAATTGAAATAAAGGAAAGAAGTAATCATAAATACAGAATTATGCTACAACATTTTAGGTGAATGCTATAAGTACACAAAGGTTGTTAATAATAATTTGCTTATATTTACAAATACTTTAACACTGATTGACTTACAAGTGTCCACTAATGTTGTTAACAGCACAATAGGTTTAATGCTTATCTTTTTAAGTTTTGTTTGAGATATAATGTCAAGTATAGCGGTCCCAGCATAAGTCATTGACAAAAAGAGCACAATTTTCTAACTGGATATGTTTGTCAGTCATTCTAATCCATGGAACTTTCTTACTCTCCAAATGCATATTCTATTATTCATAGCAGCAGTCCAGGGTCAAAAGAAAATGCAATAATAAAAATAAATTGCACAATGGAGAGATCTCTGGAGAGTTTACTCAATTCTAGTAAACAAGATCACATGGCTAGTAGAACTATCTTCTTTTTTATGTTGCAAAATAGTGAATCCTCCATGGTGCTAACACAAAGTTATGGATATCCCTGCTATAAGGGGCATAGTTGTAGAGATCTATTGAATACATAAAGCTCTGACACACATGATATTAGCATGTCTATTTAAAATTATTAGGTCCCACATAGCCTTATCTTAGAGTTGGTGCTCCTTAGGACTCTCAATAGCACCTCCTGCTTGCTTATATGACTTCAGATTTGCCAGAGGAATGTCTGTCATGTGGCTGCCATTGTTGAAATGGCCTTCATTGCTGCCATACTGCTTACGGTCATTGAAGTGGTTCCTGCTGCTGTCTTCTTTCCAGGCTCTTGTCAGGGTGTGCCCATTCACAAGCTTGTCTTTCTTGACCCATTCTTTCTGGGGTGCAAAGGTTGAGAGAGGAGATTTTGGGTGTTGATATGGACCCAAGCCAGGAGGCATCCAGCAATTATCAGAGTGACCCAAGACCAAGCACTCTTGAGTGCACATCTCTGTAGCTTCAGCTAATCCTCGAGGACCCAGAGGTCCATCTGTAGAAGACAAAAGACAGATAAAAAGTGGTTAGAATTCTCACTTAAAATGATCTCTTTAGAGAAAGAATACATTGTTGATGTCATTTTTTCATAAAGTTATAATATTCCTCTCTGTTATTTTAAGATTAATGTGAAAGCAAAAAAATTCCTTTTTAAAAATAAAAAATTTATCTTTTTTTCCTTCAGTCTTTGTTTATATATAGAATATGTAGATGGATGTATGGATAGATAAATATGAAGATAGGTTGACATATGGATAAATAGACAAAAGAATACATGTGGGTTAGCAAATATAACCATATTTCATAAATTCTTCTATAGCTTGTGAATCATTAGTTGAAGTTTAAATTTATGAAGTTATAGAAAGCAAAATTAGAATATGTAAATGTTGGAACTGCTCATAAAATAAAAAGCAAACCCATTATTTGAAAAATAACATTATTTAAAATAAATACTTGGATTCTTCAAGATGGTGACTGAGACAGAGCCAAAGACCTTGTGAGCTCCTGAACCAGAGACCCTGGAGAGATGCTAGAGACACCTTGGCTGAGGTAAAGCACCAGAGAGAGCCAAAAATATGGCAGTCTAAACCCTTAGATCGTGGAAGGCTTCTCTGTGTCACAATCTAATAAAAAAACAGCTGGCCTTCCAACTCCCCACCCCATAGGCCTACAGAACTGTTGCTCCACTCCACCAGGCTCTCTGCCCTTTGGGCTGTGCTCTGCGCTGGATCAACATACCACCACCACAAGATCCCTGCCCTTCAAACCATGCCAGGCCCTAGCCCTGCACCAGATCCACACCCCACCAAGCCCCTGCCTCTTGGGTTGTGCCAGATCCACACCCTGCCAGAAGCCCTGCCCCTCAAGCCCCAAGCACCTCAGGCTCTGTTAGGCCCCAGACCTGCATGGCATGAACAGAACCATGCCCCACTGGCATCCCCACCTCTCAGGGCCAGGCACCAGCTTGGCATGAGACAACAGCATCCCCCAGCCCACTAGGATCCCCACCACTTGGGGAGAGCCAGGACCCAGCTCTACAGACTTTCCAGATACCCACTCCATAAGGATCCCTCTCAGGCCACCAGGAGAGGGCTCCAAATGTGCCTAAGAGACACACAGACAGGACTGGATGCTAAAGGAGTAACAGAACAACTAAGAATGCCTGCAATTCTACTGCTCCACAACTGGTGATTATTATTTTTTTTTTCTCCTTTCTTTAAGAGTTTGGCTGCCTTGTTTGCTATTTGATCACCCATCATCTCTCCCTTTTTCTTTTCTCTCCATTCTTTAAGGATTTGGCTGCCTGATTTGCTGTTTGATCACCCACCATCTCTCCCATTTTTCTTTTCTTTCTTTCTTTTTTCCTCTCTGCTCTCTTCCTTCTATCTTTCCTTCTCTTTCTCTTTTTTATCCTTATATCTTGTGTTGTTAGTGTTATATCTTGTGTTGTGTTAGTATTAATATTGCAACACAGCTAAAACTAAATAACACATAGTCCAGGGACAGAAATGGTACCTTGTGGAAATATGGGAAGAAGAAAAAGGGATAGAAAACATTCTCGCCCCCAAAATGAAGTAGTACAGGATTTAGAACAAAAGGAAGAAAATGGATACCCAGATCCAGACTCCAACAAAACAAAGATAAACTATACCAAGGAACCCAACGAAGACCACAAGAACAACCTTAAAGAAGAAATCTGCAAGTAATTAATGAGAATTTCACAGATTGTTACTAGACATGGTCAACCAAAACATACAGGAGGCACTCAAGAAATTCCAAGACAACAAAAACAAAGAATATGAGAAAACCTGGAAACAAATAAATGAAATCATAGAAGCCCTAAATAAACACTAAACTGAAACTGAGACCACCATAAACAGAGAGATAAATGAATTTTATTCATTTTTAAGGACAAAAATTGACAATATTAAGGAGAAAGTAACCCACAATATGGAAAACATAAGAAAAAAGAATGAACAAGAAATACAAAACAAAATGAAAGGCCATTCCAGCAGAATAGAACAAACAGAAGACAGAATCTCACAACTTGAAGATGAAATGGAAATTCAAGGAAAAACTGAAGAACTTTTAGTTAAACATCTCAAGACCTGTGAAAAGAAAATGCAAGAACTCACAGACTCCATCAAAAAACCAACCTGAGAATCATAGGCATTGAAGAAGGAGATGAGGTACAAGCAAAAGGAATGCATAATATATTCAACAAAATAATAACAGAAAATTTCCCAAATCTAGAGAAAACTATGCCCATTCAGGTACAGAAAGCCTCCAGAACACCAAACAGACCTGACCAAAGTAGAACTATCTCACAAAATATTATCATTAAAACAACAAATACAGCAACCAAAGAAAGAATATTGAAGACTGTAAGAGAGAAAAAACAAATAACATACAAAGGTAAACCCATCAAAATCACAGCAGACTTCTCAACAGAAACATTAAAAGCAAGAAGAGCATGGGGTGAGATCTTCCGGGCACCAAATGAAAATAACTTCAACCCCAGGATACTCTACCCAGCAAAACTATCATTCAAAATAGATGGAGCAATAAAGGTCTTCCATGATAAGCAGAAACTAAAACAATATGTGAACACAAAGCTACAACTACAAAAGATCCTTCAAGGGATTCTGCACACAGAAAATGAAAGCAAACAAAACCATGAAAGTAAACAGTAACATACAATCAAACCGTTAATCAACAAAGACAACTGCATGACAGGGATCACCAGGTATTTATCAATACTAACACTGAATGTTAATGGACTAAATTCCCCCATCAAAAGACACTGATTGGCAAACTGGATTAAAAAGGAACAAACAATAATCTGCTGCCTACAGGAGACCCACCTCATCGACAGATAAAAGCACTGGCTGAAAGTGAAAGGCTGGAAGAATATTTACCAAGCCAATGGGACACAGCAAAAGCAGTCCTAAGGAGAAAGTTTATAGCCATGAGTGCATACATTAAAAGGACAGAAAGATCTCAAATCAATGACCTAATACTACAGCTGAAACTCCTAGAAAAACAAAAACAAGGAAATCCCAAAACAAGCAGAAGGAAAGAAATAATTAAAATAAGGGTAGAAATCAATGAAATAGAAACAAACAAACAAACAAAATTACAAAGAATCAATGAAACAAAAAGCTGGTTGTTTGAAAAAATAAGTTAAGATTGACAGAACCCTGGCAAACCTCACTAAAATGAGAGAAAAAACCCAAACTAGTGAAATCAGAAATGCAAAAGGGGAGATAACAACAAACACCACAGGAATCCAGGAAATCCTCAGAGACTATTTTGAGAGACTACACTCTAACAAATTTGAAAATCTTGAAGAAATAGAGAGACTTCTAGAAACTTAAAACCACCCAAAACTAAACCAGGAAGATGTTAATCACCTGAATAGATCTATAACACAGAAAGAAATTGAAGCAACAATAAGGAGTCTCCCAAAAAAGAAAACTCCAGGACTTGATGGATTCAGTGCTGAATTCTATGAACATTTAAAGAAGAACTAATACTAACTCTCCTTAAACTGTTCCACAAAATTGAAAAGGAAAGAACACTGCCTAACTCATTTTATGAAGCCAATATAACTCTCATGCCAAAACCAGACAAAGACCCCTCCAAAAAGGAGAACTGCAAGCCAATTTCCTTAATGAATCTCAACACAAAAATCCTTAATAACATAATGGCAAACTGAATCTAGCAACACATCAGAAGGATCATAACCCATGACCAAGTTGGATTCATTCCAGGGATACAAGGGTTATTCCACATACGAAAATCTATAAATGTAATACAGCACATCAATAGAAGCAAGGACAAAAACCACTTGATCATCTCAATAGATGCAGAAAAAGCCTTCAACAAGATCCAACACCACTTCATGATAAAAGCTCTAAGAAAACTAAGAATAGAAGAAATGTACCTTAGCATTGTAAAGTCTATATATGACAAACCTACAGCCAACATCATACTTAATGGTGAAAAACTGAAACCATTCCCTCTAAAATCAGGAATGAGACAAGGGTGCCCACCATTCCCACTCCTATTCAACATAGTACTAAAATTTCTAGCCAGAGCAATTAGGCAAGAAGAAGAAATAAAAGGAATACAAATAGGTAAAGAAACTGTCAAAATAGCCTTATTTGCAGAGGATATGATCCTATACCTTAAAGACCCAAAAAACTCTATCCAAAACCTCTTAGACACCAGGAACAGCTACAGTAAGGTGGCAGATACAATATCAACTTACAAAAATCTTTAGCTTTTTTATACACCAACAACGAACAAACTGAGAAGGAATAAATGGAAACAATCCTATTCACAATAGCACCCAAAAAAATCAAACATCTAGGGGTAAATTTAGCAAAGGATGTGAATGATCTCTGCAAGGAGAATTACAAACCACTGAAGAAAGAGATAGAGGAAGATTACAGACGATTGAAAGATCTCCTGTGCTAATGGATTGGAAGAATCAAAATAGTAAAAATGGCTATACTACTGAAAGAAATCTACATGTTTAAAGTAATTCCCATCAAAATCCCAATGACTTTCATCACAGAGATTGAAAAATCTACCCTAAAGTTCATTTGGAAACACAAGAGACTGTGAATAGCCAAGGGAATATGCAGAAAAAAAGAGCAATGCTGGAGATATCACAATACCTGACTTCAAACTATATTAAAAGCAACAGCAATAAAAAAACAGCAAGGTACTGGCACAACAGACATGAAGACCAGTGGAACAGAATAGAGGACCCAGATATGAATCCACACAACTATACCCACCTCATTTTTGAGAAAGTTTCCAAAAACATACAACGGAGAAAAGACAACCTCTTTAACAAATGTTGCTGTGAAAAGTGGTTAACCATCTGCAAGAAGCTGAAACTAGATCCTTGTCTATCACCCTGTACTAGTATGAACTCAAAATGGTTGAAGGATCTAAATATAAGACCTGAAACTCTGAAGTTAC